AAGGGCTTTGAACTCTTTTTCTTTGCTCTAATCAGAAAAGGCGCTCTCTGGGCAATTTGGTAAAAAAGATGTGCAGCAAACTTTAATGATTCTAGCACCAACTCAGAGAATCCCCTCATCGTCATCAAACAAGTTATCGAAACAGAGATACAGGCCATCTGGAGTAAAACAAAAAAACAATTTCAGGAAACACCGGATAAAAATAGAAATCATCAAGAAATTTGTGACCACAAGGCTAGGCAATGGAGAACTTGGTTCAATCGTGGGAGAGATGCTAATTCTCAAGGACTGGCTAGTCATACCTGCACAGGGCAATCAAGAACAGCCCAACTCCCTAATGGTTGCCTCAATTCCAAGGACTGACGAGTCTATCACATTGCCAGATGACAGAGCAGACCAGAGAATCTGAGTCCGAAGGGTAGTAAAAAAAGGGAAAGGACAGCTTCTCACAATAAATAAGGAATATTACGGACAAACTCACCCCCAAAAATTGGTTATGCGTACCAATAATACCAAACCACCCAATATCGCCTATATCCCAATTAACACCGTCACTAAACCAACCTCATAACACCCAACTACCCCCATTACTACAACCCCCCCGATACCTCTCCCCACACACACTCCTTTCCAATCCCCTCCCCAGCCCCTAAACACCCGAACAAACACAATCCAACTCGCACGTCCCCCTCCCCCTCCCCACTCCCAAATATCGCATCCATCCTACAACCAACACTGATACGAAACTCACCAATCTCATCAACCCCCCTCCCATTACTCCAAGCCCAAACAAGGAGAATTCCGCAGAACTCAGGCAGACCCCTCATCGACAACATACGCAGACAGGAAACATACCGCAAGTAAATTTAGCCAACAGATTGCAACCAATGTAGGGTTTAGGGTTTTAGCTTCAGACGATACTTGCAAGCAAAACTCCTCCCAAAGAGTCTGGAAGTAGAGCAATGAGGCCAGACAGCAGAGAACCAAAGCAACTAAGGATAGTAACAGCCTAGAACAGGCTAGCATAGGCAGAAAAAGAAAGAAAGACAAGAGAATAGGTTTAGGGTTTAAGGAATAGACAGCTGAAACCACCTTCAGCGGCAGATAAGATCAGAACTCCATAACCTCACCCGTATAGTAAATCAATCATTATACGAAGCAGGCAAGCATCTCCAGCACTTAAATCCGGATCAGACAGCAGAGTAGGTGAGAGGAGCAAGCTGGCCAAGCCAACATATACAAGCCACGCACCCCATTCAGGGCACATAGAGGTCAGCCTACCTACAGCAGTCAGAACCTAAGTCAAGTAGGCTAACTCAGGCAGGGGTGAGGGGTGGTACACCCTTCCCAAAGGAAGTAATCAATGTCGTCCACTCGGACCTCGCAACCAGAATGGGGAGGAGCGTGTGTGTGTGACTATTGTATTCGTCTTTGACTTGCCGGGGGAATAGGAACCGGACTGTTGCTCCCCAGAATGGCAGGAGCCAAAACCGAGAGGTTCTGTTTTTTTTTTTAAAGGTAGGACAAGCTAGGTTTAAGGATAAAGGGACTTGCTCGTTCCGTAGGGTTTAGGGTTTCAGAAGGGCTGACAGAGAGGAGGAGGTGTCGGAGGTAATGGGAAAAATGAGCAATAGCGGTTGGTTTAAGGGATTAAGACGAGGACGGGTGGAAAGATAGTAGGTAGGTTCTTCCGTCTAGCGCTATTTTGTCCTTTGTTACTCCAATTTTTGTCTTTGTTCATGGGTAGCATGAAGCTTCATAGGAGAAAGGGACACTAGACCCGGGTTCCAGTAAGAGCCTAATCTGGGTAACGGCCCCAGTCTTCCGGGTTGAGATGTGGACGGATTCCCGGCCTCCTTTTGCTCCATATATAATAAAGTATGCTATTTCCGTGAAAATTAAAAATAAAAGAGCGCATTTTGCAAAACAAACGGCAAAAATAAAAAATTAAGGGCACTCAAACCATTCATTTTTCTCATTCTCCTTTTGACTCCCCCTTCACCATGCCTCTCACGTACAAGGCTCGCCACACTGATGAAGTTGAGTGCGAGCTGCCCCCATCCCCGTGTGCCATAATAGCCCACTTGTATGCTGTGAGAAAGAGGCAGAGTGAAGGGGGAGAGGATAAACACAGGGAGGAGAGATGGAGAGCAGATAAACAAAGAACGGTAAAGGGAAAGTAAGGGAAAGTATGGAGTGTGGAGTGAAGATGATGGCAGAAGAGGATACGAAAAGGCCCAAGAATGAGTCTGTCCTTGACCAAAGAGAGGACATACATTGTAAGGATGAGGTGGATGAACACATGGAAGAACTAGCTGAGCATTCTCAGTGCAACAATTGCCACGACGGCTGGCATTGAGCATGCCCACCATACACCCCCAACAAATGGCATGCCGATTGTAGGCCGAAGAACGGTCACCACAAAAGAGCATGCATTCAGTATAGCGCCCATGGCCGCAAAATGGACATACAGTGTCCGGATGCGGAGGGTGCCTGCAGTCAGGAACGGTGGGCCAGTCCTCTGCACACATGGATGCAGAAACCATGTCATTGTAGTGACTGCGACGGAGACGACGGTGCCTACAGACAAGTGTAACAGTGTTTGTGGCTGTGCAAAGGAGAAGGTCGCAGAGTGTTGGTACATTGTCTTGCTGCAGCACGGGGCCAGAGGTGCAATCAGACTTGACTTACTCACACTTTTCATGCACGTGAACAGCAAAACAACAAACTGGCGACATGCGCCCACACAGAATTCAGAGATATGGCTTCCAGGCAACAGTTCGCTTCCTCTGGCTATGGCGACTGTGCGCCTCAAACAACTCAC